TGCCTCCTCAAAAAGTTAAACATAGTGCTACCATTGACCCAGCAATTCTACTATTAGGTATATACCCAAGAGACATAATGTCTTTTAATATAGAAGTTCTCCTTTTCTTTTTCTTCTTTTTAAAAAATGAAATTAAAAGAAACTGGACCACTTGTCCTACAGAGCATCCTATTTTCTGGATTTATCAGATTGTTTACTTTTGATACTGCTTAACTTGTTCTTCTAGTCTCTATATTTCCTATAAACTGGTGGTTAGATCATACGGTTTGATTATATTCTGGTTAAATGTTTTTTGTTAGAATATTTTATGGGTGATTCTGTATACTTTATTTTACATCACATCACAAAGCATGATGTCTGGTCATCTCGTTATCAGTGATGCTAAGAATGGCCATTATAGATGGTGACAGCCAGATAAAAGGCAACTTGTAAAAAGAGACCAAGAAGGAGGATATTATCAGAAATTTAGAAAGGCTTTGACCTGTAGCGAGTCCCTGAAACATGATCAGATAGAAAACATATACTATCTGTCAAATTAAAGCCCTTTATAGGTTAATCAAAGAGCCTTGGCAGCGCAGTGGTTAAGCACTCAGTTGCAAATCAAAAGGTCTGCTGTTTGAACCCACCGGCAGTTCTGCAGGAGAAAAGACCTGGTGATCTGCTCCCATAAAGATGATAGCCTGGGAAACCCTATGGAGCATTCTGCTGTGTCATATAGGCACACAGCAACAATATGTGTTAATCAGGGAAGATTAAAGAGACTTACTGAATCTGATATGTTTCTGCTTAAACTAAATGTATTTTTTTTCACATGGACAACTAATATCTAGACTTCTTGTTGTTGTTCTTAGGTGCCGTGCAGTCAGTTCTGACTCATAGCAATGCTGTGTACAACAGAACAAAACACTGCCCAGTCCAGTGCCATCCTCACAGTCGTTATGCTTGAGCCTATTGTTGCAGCCACTGTGTCAGTCCATCTTGTTGAGGGTCTTCCTCTTTTTCACTGACTCTCTACTTTACCAAACATGATGTCCTTCTCCAGGGACTGGCTCCTCCTGATAGCATGTCCAAAGTATGTGAAACAAAGTCCCACCATCCTTCTAAGGAGCATTCTGGCTGTACTTTTCTAAGACGGATTTGTTCATTCTTCTGGCAATCCACAGTATATTCAGTATTTTTCGCCAGCACCACAATTCAAAGGCATCAGTTCTTCCTCGTTCTTCCTTACTCATTGTCCAGCTTTCGCATGCATATGAGGCAATTGAAAATATCATGGCTTGGTTCAGGGGCACCTTAATCCTCAAAGTGACGTCTTTGCTTTTCAACATTTTAAAGAGGTCTTTTGCAGCAGATTTGCCCAGTGCAGTACATCGTTTGAGTTCTTGGCTGCTGCTTACATGGGCGTTGATTGTGGATCCAAGTAAAATGAAATCCTTGACAACTTTAATGTTTTCTCCATTTATCGTGATGTCACTTATTGGTCCAGTTGTGAGGATTTTTGTTTTCTTTATGTTGAGGTGCAATCCGTACTGAAGGCTGTAGTTTTTGATCTTCATCAGTAAGTGCTTTAAGTCCTCTCACTTTCAGCAAGGAAGGTTGTGTCATCTGCGTATCTCAGGCTGTTGATGAGTCTTCTTTCTATCCTGATGCCGAGTTCTTCTTCATATAGTCCGGCTTCTCTGATTATTTGCTCAGCATACAGACTGTATAAGTATGGTGAAAGGATACAACCCTGACGCACACCTTTTCTGATTTTAAACCATGCAGTATCCCCTTGTTCTGTTCAAACGACTGCCTCTTGGTCTGTGTACAGGTTCCTCATGAGCACAATTAAGTGTTCTGGAATTTTAGTTCTTCGCAGTGTTATCCATAATTTTTTATGATCCACACAGTCGAATGCCTTTGCATAGTCAATAAAACATAGGTAAACATCTTTCTGGTATACTGTGCTTTTAGCCAAGATCCATCTGACATCAGCAGTGTTAACCCTTGTTCCACATCCTCTTCTGAATCTCACTTGAATTTCTGTCAGTTCCCTGTCGATAAACTGCTTTTTTTTTTTTTAATGTCCTCATTCTCAGAGAAGTTTATAAATTTGAACTTCTGCCGAGATTTTTTTTTCGTTTTCTTTTTTTTTATTGATGTAATTAAATGAAGTTTACATTCAAGTTAGTCTCCCATACAGAATTTTTTTTAACATACATTGTTATGAGACCCCAACCGCTCACCCCATTCTGCGACAGCACCCTCCTCCCCTCCACCCCTGATTCCCCATGAACATTCAGCCAGCTCCTAACTCTCTCTGCCTTCCCCTCTAACCTCTGGACAGAAGCCGCCCCTTTGGTCTCTTATATCTACTTGTCTAAGAGGCACATTCTTCACGAGTATCACTTTATATCCCACAGTCCAGTCCAATCCCTGTCTGAAGAGTTGGCCTTGGAAATTGTTTTAGTTCTGGGGTGATGGAGAGACCAGGGGCCATGTTCTCCGGGGCATAGAATGATCTTCAGAAAAATTTTACTTGTGTGTGATATTAGTGGTATTGTTCGATAATTTCCACATTCTGTTGGATCACGTTTCTTTGGAATGGGCACAAATACGGATCTCTTCTAGTCAGTTGGCCAGAAAACTGTCTTCCAGATTTCTTGGCATAGACGAGTGAGCACCTCTGGTGCTGCATCTGTTTGTTGAAACATCTTAATTGGTATTCTGTCAATTCCTGGAACCTTGTTTTTCACCATTCCCTTCAGTGCAGCTGGACTTCTTCCTTCATTACCATTGGTTCTTGATCATATGCTACCTCCTGAAATGGTTGAACGTCAATGAATTCTTTTTGGTACGGTGACTCTGTCCATTCCATCTTCTTTTGATGCCTCCTGTGTTGTTCAATATTTTCCCCATAGAGTCCTTCAATATTTCAACTCAAGGCTTGAATTTTTTCTTCAGGTTCTTTCAGCTTGAGAAATGTTGACTGTGTTCTTCCCTTTTGGTTTTCTAACTCCAGGTCTTTGCATATTTCATTTTAACACTTTGTCTCCTTGAGCCTCCCTTTGAAATCTTCTGTTCAGCTCTTTTACTTCATCATTTCTTGACTTCACTGTTGTTACTCGACATTCAAGAGCAAGTGTCAGAGTCTTTTCTGACAGCCATTTTGGTCTTTTCTTTCCTGTCTTTTTAATGACCTTTTGCTTTCTTTGTGTATGATGTCCTTGATGTGATTCCACAGCTCGTCTGGTCTTTGGTCATTAGTGTTCAGTGCGTCAAATCTATTCTTGAGATGGTCTCTAAATTCAGACTTAGACAGTGTTAATTTTAAGAGTGTCTTTACTTAATATGTAGCTGTTAAGTTATCTGCTCTATATAAGGCATTACTGTGGATACAGAGTTACACAAGAAACTTACTTCCCCAAAGGCTTACATTCTTAGGTGGGATAATGTTATGTACAAAAATATTTGTGATTGATTTGTTTAACAAACCTTACCTAGAAAATGCTAATTATATGCCAGGTTCTGTGACAGATGTGAAAATACAGAAATGAATATGAAGTAATCCTTTTATTTGAGGCATTCACAGAATAGACTTGTAAACAGATCATTACAATTTCTGGTAAATATGTACCAGCAAGTAAAAAATCCCTAGGCAAGTCAACCTGAATGCCTAATGTGTGCTTATCATTGGAAAATATAAAGATGAATACAACATAGTAGTTGCTGTCTAGGAGCTTTCATAATGAAGCTTGCAACATACTTAGGCTCCAGTTTCCTTATGTATAAAGAGAGGATATTGAACTAGTTGTTCTCTGTGGTCCCTTTTAACTCTTAAGCTGTATTAGTCTGTGTTTGGAAAATGTATTACCTATATACTAAAGTTGCTGATAACTGAGTAACGTGTTTCAGTGGCCATATGTTTTGTTTTTCATTACAAGGAAATAACGTATTTGTCTCTTACTTTAATCCTTACGATATGCTTGAGAGGTAGGCAGTATTACCTCTCTTATTGGTGAAAAAATAGAGGCTCAGTGAATTTAAATAATTTATCTAAGATTACTCAGCTGTGAAGAGCTACAATGGTGGAGCCAGGATTCCAGTCTAAATCTGCTTTAACAGTCTGTGTTCTTTCTACTTCTTAAGGCCAGTGATATTACTGAACCATTGAGAAAAAAAAAGCCAACTTAATGAGTCTGAAGAATGTGTAAAGACAGGTTACTTCAGCAACTTGAATAGCCTGGAAATAGAAAGTAAATATCTAAGTGATCATTCAAAAATATTTACTGAGTACATCCTATATACTAGATGAGAAGGGTATGAAGATGAATAAAGGAATTTCATATTTATCATCTATTATTCTCATTCAGAATATGATTCTTTATATCTAAATACTTGAGCATTTAACAGCATATGAATTTTTCATCAAAACAAATGAGCCATCATAAAATACTTGACTAAGCGGTTTTAATAAAGTAGAATCAGATTCTTCTGTGAAATGAAATAAAAAATTGGTACTATACAGTAATGCATAATCTATATAATGCCTTACATTATTCCCATTTCCAAGGAGGTCAGCATACTTTTTGAATCCTGGGCCTCCAGAGTTCTCCCTTTCAGACACTTCTGTCTGAGGTTGTGCTTTTAGAGCTTCTTCCTCAAGCCTATTTTTACCTTTTGTTTGAATTTGATTTTTGCTTTAATTGAGGGGAGAGCAGAGATGGAGCACTCAATGATTGAATCCTTGCCACAGAATAATTTTTTAGATTTATAGTCAGTAGCATATAGCATTATTATATAAACCAGTAGACATACAAGATTCTGTCATACAGGTTCTATGACCTTAACAGTTCTCCAGAATCTTTAGTCTATGCTTTTAGCATTCTTTTCTAATCTCATTCTAGCTTAGTAGGGAGATTGTAATTCTTGAATTAATGAGAAATTTCAGTAGAGCAAGCAGTCATTAAGTTTTGTGAAAAATTGTATTCTACTTATTGTATTATTCTTTCCCACAGGGGGTGGCATAACTGACAGAAATTTGCAAAGGATCCTTGAGGGTTCAGGTGCTACAGAATTCCACTGTTCTGCTCGGTCTGCCAGAGACTCAGGAATGAAGTTCCGGTAAAAATGTGTTCTTTGACTCATAGAAGAAGGCCTGAAATTAATCTTTACTTCCGCAAATAGGAAAACCTTAGTTAATGGCATGATTAGTGAATAGAATGTTGTGATTAGTACCGTAAGTATTGCAGTCATTTTTGCAGTTGAAAAACATTTCTAAAATGCTTCTTGTCTTGCCTTAAATAAGCACTTTTCTGAACATAGCTGAACCTCTGTATCCTTAAGGCATTGCTGAACTTAGACCAATTAATAGTAAGTTTTAATTCAGCAGCTGAGCTTCAAATGAGTCAAATATGCATGTGTGCCCATTCACTTGTGCTTTCCTTTAGCAAACGTAAAAACTGTGGTATAAGGATAGAAGAGTCAAAGTCATTTTATCCCTTCTAACTTTAATACTTAGTCTTCCCTTCCCTTTGCTCTCTATTTTCAGTTCTTTTGAAATTATATCACCACCAAGGAATTATAACTATTATGTGTTTTTTAGTATAGTTTATAGAATCCCTATAATTTAATAGTTGGTAGATGATTATTTTTATTTATAGGTTAGAAAAAAACAAGATGTAAAAGAAGCAAGAGCCTTAAAACTTATATTTCCAGATAGAAAATCAAGTATACTGTCTGGTAGATTTGGCTACTAGATGTTTCAGGTAGTGAAAATTGTGGAATATGGTAGTTCCCAGGGTCCTTGATCTACCCTTGCTGTTAGCTGTGAACTAGCCTATTAAACGAAGTACCACTAGGAAGGCTCATTTAGTGAGAGCCTCTCCTAACAGCTTGTGTAATTATTTGTTCCTTTGTTATTCCTGTTGCAGAAACTTCTGTGTTTCCATGGGAGCCTCACTTTCTAACTCAGAATATTCTCTAAAGGTAACAGATGTGACCAAAGTAAGGACTTTGAATGCTATTGCAAAGAATAGCTTGGTGTAGCCAGACCGCTCTGAGCGACATGGATATTACAGGATGAAGGTAGAAGTATTGTCTACAACTCTCTGTGATACAGCTTTAACCTTCTTTTCTGGCCAGGACAGTCACAGTCTTTGTTTTAAGTCTCACATGGCCATGGAGAACATTTCCAAAGGAGAAAAAGAACTTGAAACAGCTATAGTCACTTCCTTTGCTTAGTCTTGCCAGCCATCTCTGTCTTCACGGTTAAATGTGATCTGTGCTTCTTCTACAGATAGGTTTAGTCTGTTGGTGATGGAATTAGTTGGTGAACTGGAAAAATTCAACAGCAAAGTATGAATTCAGAGTGTGACTTAAAGATCAATTCAATAGTAGTATTTTGCTTTTTTGTTTGTAAAATAAAAATTTCCATTCTCTTTTGGTTTAGTCTGTTATTCTTACCTTAAGTAGTCTGTTGCCAAGTATAAAAGGGATGATTTTGTTTTTTTCCTTCATTTTCTCTTTTTATTATATATTAATTAGATATGTGATCCTGGGCAAGATGCTGAGGGTATGATAGTAAAACGGTACAGTGTAAAAATCCCCAGACGTGGGAAGCAGGATGTAAAAGTTACTAGACTTATAAAGGAAGACGTGATCTCTGGAGTTCATAGGTTACTTCTGCCTCTGATCCAAGATAGAGAAATGGCTTAACCATAAGGTCCATCTGACAGTCTAGACCTATACTAAAAACTGGGGAGGTTAGGGAAGTCATCAAAGTAGTCACTTCTACCTTTTAACTGAGGCCACAGATAGGGAGGATAGATTCTAGTGATGAAACATGCTTTTCCTATAAGCAGGTCCCAAATGGTTAAGTTCATCATTAGCTTTATCTGTTACTTTCATATTTATAACCTCATTTTATACTAACAACACACTGTTAATAGAACTGTGAGAGTATCTGAAGCACAATATAAAGAGCTTGTCCTTGGTCAGGAAGCTAGTTAATCGAGCTTCTGTGAATAGCATGCACAGATTTGGGTACTAATGGATGTAGATACGAAGGGCCTTACCTTATTTAAATGTGTCCGCCCCCAACACCTTGAAATCTTAGTTTCTTTTCTTATTTTTTCAAGTACAATTTCAACGTAGATATTTGCTAAGTAGTTTATGAAAATACGAGAAGCAAACTGTTTTAAAACTAATAATAACCTTAGTAATGTCCTTTCTTGCTTGTTGAGACTTACTAAAGGTAATAAACATTCCAAAAAACAGTTTTCACTATTGGTTTTGAAATCCAGATACAAATACATAAGCAAAACATAAATGCACACATATCATATTTAGTCTTTTGGCCTAACTCTTCCTCATGCTTGGACTTCACTGTATGAACCTCCTAAGAGCTGGCTATGGTATCATCCCTGTTTTATTTAAACAGATTAGCTAGGGACCTGAAGCGTGGTGTGAATTGCTCAAGGTTTAACAACAAGTTAATGTTGTTATGAAACTTGAACACTAGACTCCTAATCTCCAACCTTTCTGCTTGTTAATGGCACGAGGTTGGGAACCAAACTAGGGTGAGGTGCTGAGGTGGACAAAAGTTGTAAATAACTCCAAACTGTAGTTAAAACTAAATAAGTCAAAATGTGGCATAAAATGGATTTCATGTGACCTTATTTTGGTTAAAATTAAATACAGTATTTAGGAACACAGCATTATATAAACATCATCCAAAAGTGCAGGAAGAGTACAGGTTTTACAAGGTATCTAAATGCTAAAATAGGACTATCCATAGCATTTCTTGCCTTCTGAAGAGAACTCTTTGTTTATATTTCTCAATCTCTGAAGATTTCTTGGTATTATAAGTTCAACATCTGGAGGGGAAAATTGGAAGAAGCCAGAGAGGCTATGTGATTTACTTTGGAAACGGCATAGAGCTACTTTGGGAGGAAGAGAAGAGATCTAGAAGGTCAGATAGCGGTAGGGAAGTGAGATGGGTGAGCCTAAGTGGGCTGGGGCCTTTTGGGAAAGGGAATGAAGGAGTTTGGTGATACGAGAACTTTGGAGAGAATGGTAAAGAGATTTTAGGAAGATTTGCTCTTGGTTTAGGCAGTGAATATTAAATGCTGTAATTCTCTTTGCCATCTCTGCAATATACTTCAATAAAATTTAATAGTATTTGCAAGAATTTTGGAGTTTGATACTGTGTTGAAAAGTAAGCATGAAGTCTATATTCCATTGTATAAGAACAGTTTAGAAATCAAAAGGACATTGCAGAGATCTCTCTAAAAATGGCTAAGGATATTTTTTTTACAGTAAAGTTTTTATTACCTGTTTCTTAGTGGAGCTACTTTTTTTCCCCAAATACTAGGGAGAAGCCTATGTAACATCGGCTTGCTAATTAGCTAATTATTCTCTCTTCTTTCTAAGTAGTCCAGCTGACTAAAATGTGATTAGGAAGGCATGATATTTTTTACAAACCAGCTATTCTCTGTCACTGTCTGTCATTCTTTTGTCTTCCAGGAAACACAAAATATCCTCATTCATCATTTCCAGTTTGCTTGGGACTTTCTTGGTTTTAGCATTGAAAGTCCAATGTTCCTGGAAGCCTCTCAGTCCTGGACAAACTGGGAAGGTTTGTCACCTTACCAGCTCAGTAAAATGATCTTTTTCCCTCTTCCTTTGTTCCTCACCTCCCTGCCTTAATTCTGGCAAACCTAAATTAGGAGAGGAGGAATTGAGGAACAAAGGAAAAACAAAAAAGGAGAGACGCTTTTCTCTCTGGCAGTAGCTGGTCCCTGAACCAAGAAAAGGGAGAGACTTTAAATGGATGTGGTTTCTTTTTGGGGTGATAAAAATCTTCTAAAACTGATTGTGGTGTTGGCTGCACAACTCTGTGATTAGACTAAAAACCATTGAATTACACACTTTAAATGGGCAAATTACATCTTAATAAAGCTGATACAAAAAAAATTGGATGTGAGAGAGAAGTTTTACATTACATTGGCCTGGACCTTCTAATACCTGAAAGTGATGAAAAAGCTATAGGAGAAGAAAACCCAAGACTCAGAGAAGGAACCAGTCTATAGGACTAATTGTCTACATGAACTACAGCTTCCTCTACCCTGAGACCAGAATATGATATGGTGTGGATAGGAGTCCTGAAACTGTTGCAACCATCTCACCACCTATTTGAGAGTAAAGCTGACAACAAAAGAGAGCAGAGTCAAAGATTAGAGAGAAATGGAACAGAGCCAATCTAATAAATCAGTCTTGAGAACTATACTACCTTTGAGCTTTGGGCCATCAGAACCAATAAGTATCTTCATTCAAGCCACCATGAGTTGGGTCCTAATATGATTGGCTACCACTCATCTGTCAATTTGTTGTACTGTCGTGGTTTGTGTGTTGTTATGATACTCTAAGCTATGCCACTGGTATTTCAAATACTGGCAGGGTCACCCATGGCGAACAGGTTTCATTAGCGCTTTCAGACTAAGACTAGGAAGAAAGGCCTGGTGATCTTCTGAAAATTAGCCAACAAAAACCCTATGGATCATAACAAAATATTGTCAGATACAGTGCTGGAAGATGAGCACCCTAAGTTAGAAGATACTCAAAATACACAGTGGCTGCAGCAATGGACTCAAGCATATCAATGATTTTGAAGATGGCGCACGACTAGGCAACATTTTGTTCTGTTGCCATGAGTCGGAGCTGACTCAATGGCAACTAACAACAACATGATTGGAGAATGAGTCGATTTTTCTGCTAGCAGTTGCTGCCTTCCTGAGTAGGGGTTAAGAATCTTCCAAAGCTGTGTGCAATATGACAGATGCAAGAGAAATCCTATCTTAGACAGTCATACTAGAAAGTCACTTGGTTTGAACTCGGTGCCTCTAACCTCCTTACAGCTTGCTTAAGTTAGTCAGAGTTCAACCAACATCAGAGACATCTATCACAGAGAATGCACTTTATACTTTGATACCGCTTAATTGTCAATTATAGTTTCTCTGAAGATAGGGCCCCTATGAATAAGTCATCCTGTTCGGAGATCTTTTAACCATTCATAAGGGTCTACTCACAAGATACCAAAGAGATGGCCCTTCCCTTCTTTATAGGCCAAAGAGGGACAGAATCTCTCAGATGAACCATATAATACATTTCCTTTCTCACTTCAAGAATCAGATCCCAAGCTAAAGTTTAAGATTATGAGAATAACATTTTTATTTATTTAGCCCGTATCCATATGCCCAGCACAGTACTTGCTGCTCTATGGATGCAACCTCCACAGTTAAAGGACTTAACATTGAAATTATATGATTGAAATTATATATATTTAAATAAGCTATGGGCCTCTTTTACTTCAAACACCTTTTGCAAATTACCTCGTGGCAATCCCTCTGATATATCCCTAAATAACAAGAAAAAATGTCAAGTGCTAATTAAAAGCGCTTTCCCAAAATTTCTAGATGTATGTGTGAATATATGTAAACGCACAGAAAAATACATATTTCACAGTCTCGCAGTAGGCTTACAGATACTTGTTCAGCAAATTTTCTTGGGCTCGCTAATTAGGCCATTTTCATGTTCTTAATTCACAAAACTCTGTCTAGAATAATGACAGTCCAGCCATAGGTTGTAAGAGTACATTTGATACTATGAGCTTAAACAACTTCATAGTTAAAAGGCCAACATTTGTCATAATAGCACTTTCCCTTACTGTGGTAAGAATAAACTCAGCTTTATCTTATCAACAGGTTGTTTTGATGATATTTTCAGGGAGCCAGCATTCTCTAGCATTTGACATCTTACACATATTTTTTAGTATATTTCCTTCACTCGTTTGGTTTTCCTGAAAGCAACCACTATTAACAATTTCTTGTGTGTCTTTCCACAGTCTTTTTAAATTGTGGTAAGTATATATATATATAAAACAGCATTTGCCATTTCAACATTTTTTACGTGTTCATTAAATTGACATTAATTACGTTTATCATGTTGCCTTGCACAATTTTTTGTTGTGCTTTAAGTGAAAGTTTACAATTCAAGTTAGTCTCTCATACAAAAATTTATACATTGTTATGTGACCCTAATTGCTCTCCCTATACTATGACAGCACACTCCGCCTTTCTACCCCTGATTTCCTGTGTCCACTCAACCAGCTCCTGACTCTCTCTGCCTTCTCATCTCACCTCCAGACAGGAGCTGCGCATTTAGTCTCATGTATCTACTTGAGCTAAGAAGCACACTCTTCACGAGTATCATTTTATGTCCCATAGTCCAGTCTAATTTTTGTCTGAAGAGTTGGCCTTGGGAATGGTTTTAGTTTGGGGCTAAGAGTCTGGGGGCCATGTGTCCGGGGTCCCTCCAGTCTCAATCAAACCATTAAGTCTGGTGTTTTTACTAGAATTTGAGTTCTGCACCCTACTTTTCTCCTGCTCTGGCAGGGACTCTGTTGTGTTCCCTGTCAGGGTGGTCGTTGGTGGTAGCTGGGCACCATCTAGTTCTTCTGGTCTCAGGCTGATGAAGTCTCTGGTTTATGTGGCCCTTTCCGTCTCTTAGGCTAATACTTTCCTTGTGTCTTTGGTGTTCTTCATTCTTCTTTACTCCAGATGAGTTGGGGCCAATTGATGCATCTTAAATGGCTGCTCGCAAGCTTTTAAGACCCCAGACACCACTCACCAAAGTGGGATGCAGAACATTTTCTTAATAAGCTTTGTTATGCCGATTGACCTAGATGTCCCCTGAAACCATGGTCCCCAGACCCCTGCCCCTGCTACTGTGTCCCTCAAAGTGTTTGGTTGTATTCAGGGAACTTCTTAGCTTTGGTTTAGTCCAGTTGTGCTGACTTCCTCTGTAGTGTGTGTTGTTCTTCCCTTCACCTAAGATAATTCTTGTCTACTTTCTAGTTAGTGAATACCCCTCTCCCTGCCTCCCTACCCTCCTGACCATCAAAGAGTGTTGTCTTCTGTGTTTAAACCTTTTCTTGGGTTCTTATAATACTGGTCTTGTACAATATTTGTCCTTTCATGACTGACTAAGTTCACTCAGTATGCCTTCCAGATTCCTCCATGTTATAAGGTGTTTCACGGATTCATCGTCGTTCTTTATTGTTGCATAGTATTCCATTGTGTGAATATACCATAATTTGTTTATCCCTTTGTCCGTTGATGGGCACCTGGGTTGTTTCCATCTTTTTGCTATCGTGAACAGTGCTGCAATGAATATGGGTGTGCATATATCTATTCGTGTGATGGCTCCTGTTTCTCTAGGATATATTCTAAGGAGCAGGATTGGTGGATGATATGGTATTCTATTTCTAGTTTTTTAAGGAAGTGCCAAATTGATTTCCAAAGTGGTTTTACCATTTTATGTTCCCACCAACAGTGTATAAGTGTTCCAGTCTCTCCACAGCCTCTCCAACATTTATTATTTTGTGATGATTGTATTAATGCTAGCCTTGTTGGGGTGAGATGGTATTTCATTGTAGTTTTGATTTGTATTTCTCTAATGGCTAATGATCGTGAGCATTTCTTCATTTGTCTGTTAGCTGCTTGAATATCTTCTTTGGTGAAGTGCCTGTTCATATCCTTTGCCCATTTTTTAAATGGGTTATTTGTCTTTTTGTTGTTGAGATTTTGCAGTAGATTTTAGAGATTAGATGCTGATCAGATTTGTCATAGCCAAAAATTTTTTCCCAGTCTGTAGGTTGT